AATGCCCCGGCGGCCGGTCCCCGGCCCGCGGGCCGGCGGTTGGGGACCCCTGCCTTAGTAGAGTAATTGTTCAGTTCCATTTGTCAACGTTAGATGGCACTAAATTCATGTGACTTTTTCCCCCTTTTGTAAACCCACAATAAAATCACGACAATTTTCTGTTCAAATATATTTACTCTCAAGAAAAAATAGATATCTCCAAGTACAAAACAAACAAAACAATGTTTGCAACTGTATTATTTTGATTGTACCGTAAAACAAAGACAATCACTTGGAATGAGATGCAACATTTTGTAAGTGCCATCTTTTCAAGCCAGACACACACACACACACACACACACACACACACACACACACACACACACACACACACACAAAAAAAAAAAAAAGGGGGGGGGAATGGAGGAGCATTAAGAACATATTGACCTGCACAGGACTTCAAAAATCAAAGTGTGCGTTAGCTGCTGAATCCACCGTGAGGTTGGGAGGGTCAGCATCTGTGTTGGAGCATGAACACAGGCCACGCGTGTCAGGAATGGAAAAGTATGTCTCACCCAAGAGGAATGTATTCCAGCAGGATGGAGTTGGCGCTGCTGATCACCACACAGCTCAATGAGGTTTAGCCAAGAAGCCAAAAAAAAAAAAAAAAAAATTACTGTTTTCCAAACCCTCTGCAGTGACGAAGGTGAATCATACCATTTTGGGAAGGAAAACTCAGTGAAGCAGGGCGGAGAAGGGGGGTAGGTTGGGGGGGTTAGTTTTATACAAAAGTATGAATGAAATGTATTGCAAATGTTTTTTTTTGGAAGTCCTTAGGAATGTTTTTGGAGCATGAAGAATTCAAGCATTTTCCAGTTCAACAATTTGGCCCAAAGAAAGAAATATATAAGCCTAAGAAAAACAACAACAATGAGCACTGCTCCAGAAATATCTACACAAGCTTACAAAAAAAGCCCTATCACTTTTGTGAGAAGGAGAAAAAGAACCGGGGCAGCCAAGGTGGCAAGAATGGACAGGGATTTCAGGGAAAAATAAGTGAGCTCGCGAGTGGCAGGGCCGCCTTGGGCTTTTGGTTAAAAATGAACCAACCACATAACAGCCATTAAAGGTGAATCAGCTCTTTCCCGCCTCCACTCGGCTCTCTCAACAGACATGTAGTACTGAAAGGAGTATTCTTTTTCTTTCACACATACGCACGCACATAAACATCCACATCCTCTTAGTGGTTCAACTGCTTCTCCAGATGCACCTTACCCAATGCGATAAGGCTTGGGGAATGACAAGACAGAAGACATCCAGAAGGCAGGTTCAGGCACGTATTCCTGGAAAGGGGATAAAAAGCAAGACACATTAAAAATACAGATTTTTTTTTTTTTTTTTTTAATCTTCATAAATTCACATCATATTCTCGAAATGGTCCCCACATAGCAAGCAGTATCTGCGAAGTCAGGAATGTGCTTTTTTAATTTTTTTAAAAAAAGGCAGTATTTATGTATTAAGTTGTCTCTGCTCTCAAACACTGTGGGCAGGTCTGCTGAAACCATAGCCCAGAGAAAAATGGATGCCACTTGGTCCTGTCTACACAGCCCTATGTGTTTCCGAAACAAAAATATGTTTTAAGCCTCCAGTGGCTCCAGGATGTCCCACCAATTCCTCGTGGGGCTTTCTACAGCACAGCGAAAGACGCTAGCAACCAGCTAGCTCAAGAGTTAACAGGCTTCACGGTGCCTTTCGGTCTCCGGGCACATCCACGGCGTCATTGCCAAGCTTGGGAATTCAAACACCACCATTGGAGATGGAGATGTGTGTGCATTATAACGGCGACGAAAACAAAATTACGAAGTAGACTGGACATAAACCACACACTTGCGGCGTCATTGTCTCTCCTATTACCCCGAGATGGGACCGTCTGGTTGCCGAAAATCAAGCTCGGTGCTGTGGTGAGTCGTCATTTTCATGCACTTTGAATTTGCGTTGTATCGTATTTTGAAGGCATTAAACATTGCCATAGCGATTGGAGTGTTGCGGCCAGATTAGACGCTCCTTGTGTTTATTATTATATTTCGAAAACACCACAGTTTTCATGCAGCTCATACCATGTTATTTTGTTGTATTATTTCCGCCACACCTTAAATGCCGGTCCCTGAAAATATTGTCTGACATAAACCGGTCCGTGGGGCAAAAAAGGTTGGGGACCCCTGCATTATAGAATATATATCTATTTTCTTTTTCACAATTCAATGTATTCTGCATCTATTACCAAAATATAACAACATCAATCACAGAAATAGATTACCTTGTCGACAAAGTTTCACGCAAATAAATGGAGATTGAGATAACACCCTTGGTCAATGTAATGACGATACATCTTGGAAATTTGGTTTGCAAATACCTTTTTGGCTCACATCTCCCTGCTTCTCTTGAGCAAAATTGAGACGGTTCTGCTCGGCTGGCGTTTGCGCCACAGTGTGGACCTCGGGGCTGCTGCTGCGTGAGGGACTTCCCTCCTCCGTGTGGTAGGCCAGGTCCAAGTGCTGCTGTGCCAGCTTCAAGTGCCTGCGCAACCGCTCCAGGTCACGGGACGAGTTGCCAAAACTGTCCAAGCCAGAGTCACCTGTCGGCGAGATCCTAAGCTCCCCTTTGGCTCCTTTTTTCACAGCAGCGTGATACCCCGGTGGTGCTGAGGCTAAGGCATGAAGGGGAGAGGGCGTTTGTGACCTCTGGGTGGCCCGCCTGCGGAAGGTGTCGCGGATACTGCCGATGCCCAAGTGCATGATTTCAAAGACCGTGAGGATCAGGCAGAGGAAAGACACCACGTACATGATCAAGAGGAAGATGGTCTTTTCAGTGGGCCGAGATACAAAGCAGTCTACTGTGTGCGGGCAGGGTGAGCGAGTGCAGGTGTAGAAGGGGATAACCTCAAAGCCATACAGAATGAACTGGCCACAAAGGAAGCCCACTTCGAAAGCTGAGCGCCACAGGAGCTGGCATATATAGACTTTCATCAGGCCATCTCGCAAGATCCTCCGCCGTCCGTCATGCTTCTTCTCCTGTACGCCTTGAAAAGTGACCAAACACACACACACACACACACACACACACACACACACACACACACACACACACACCTTCATTAGACCTGAAAGCGGCTGGTTTACTAAATGCACACCCAGATTGCGTCTGCCAAACAGGCACAGTTGATTTTGCACACTCTGAGAGGAGACGATTCAAATCGTTTAATTTAGCATGTGCAATGTGGTCAATGAAATCGAAGGCAAATTTTCCATCTTTAAATGCCGTATCTAAGAGGCAGCAAACCGTTGGGGCGGGGGCAAAATGAGAGGCAGGGGGGAGGATCTTTTATGCTCATTCAACTTTTTTTTTTTTTAAATGCCAGGTTAAAAAAATAATGAATTAGCGTGTAGTGTATTTAGCAAGGCAATTTTGGACCCGAATGATCGATTTGGAGCCAGTCACAAGAAAGACTCGGGCCATATAACCAATGAGAAAAATCCCTTTAACTCTGTAATTTCGGCGTATTGTAGCATGTGGTACTGGCCTTCCCAAGACACATTTTTCAGCCATGCATTGTTTTAAATTCATAGTTATGCAGGATGGGCAGATACAGCCAACTCCCAAGCATGTAGCTTTTATTGGGTTGCTGGCTCTCATAAAACTATCAAAAAGAGTGATTTCTTTTCAGTAACTCAGTAATATTTCCACGAACACTTCCAATTCCATCCCTTCAACTTCAATTTGAGCTTGTGTCGCTCACCCACATTTTCAATGGTGAAAACCATCAACTCCACAAAAATCTTAAAAGGGCTCTCCACCACTTTTGCATCTGTTGCCAACAGCCGCCACAATCGAGTGAGTGAACACACAAGGCCTACATTTTTTTGTTATTACTTTTGTTCTGAAGTATACCTGTATTCTGTCTGTACTTACAGTTGGTAAAGAAGTGTAAGAAGTACTGCTTTTACACAAGTATCCGGACTGTCTAAGTCAAGTGTGTGAACTTTTGCCACCTATGTGAACAAGCGACAGTCAGAGTGCCTGCCCTGCACCTTATCCAAAGCTCAGGAATGTTTTTTCCAAACCTTGAAAAGCTAGCAATCAAATTCAAGCATTTAAGAATTCCAAGCAGCTCTTTAACCCTCAAGACGTGAGCCCTGAAATGTGCATAAGTTATACACAGTGGTTTGTGGCTAAATGAGACATGCTGCAAATATACAGTACTGGGCTCCACTCCACACAATATGCAACTGCTGGCTCATTTCTTCTATTCATTTTTCACAGTCTAATGAGTTACAAGAGAAGCTACATTTGGATCCTTCTCTATGTCCTGAATATACTGAGCAGTGATTAGTCCATACCTTAAAACTGAGCGACAACGACCGCTTACTTTTTTCCTCCTTGTCTGGCTTCTCGTGCTCGATCTCCTCTGCGACCATGGGGTCTTCTTCTCCATTGTCCTCAGCCTCTTCGTAGTCCCGAACTGCGCCACGGCTGATGATGGGCATCCTCTTCTTACGTCGCGGACGGTAGTCCGAGTCTTCCATGCGGGCGATTTTGTGCATGGCGAATCCCAGGTACATAATGGTAGGAGTGGTGATCATAATTACCTGAGGAGGACACGGCTTCACTTTAGTCACAAACTAGATGCCAAGTCTTACACGTAATGCAAAACCTACCTGAAAGATCCAGAAGCGGACGTGTGAGAGCGGCGCAAAGGCGTCGTAGCACACGTTCTCACAACCCGGCTGCTGCGTGTTGCAGACAAATTTGCTCTGCTCATCGTAGTAGATCGTCTCCCCGCCGACAGCCGTCAGGACGATGCGGAAGATGATGAGCACCGTCAGCCAGATCTTCCCCACAAAGGTGGAGTGGTTTGAAATCTCATCCAGCAGACGCGTCAGGAAACTCCAACTCATGGTGTCGAGAAGCTAAGAGCTTGGGGTGGGGAAAAAACAAAAATCCAATGAGCAAAGTTCTTCACATATATCAAGATATTCCCATGATTTAAAACATCTTAAAACTTACCTTTGCAGACCGTCTTGTGTGCGGTATTGCCTTCCCTTTTTTCGTGCATTTATTTTTCTATTATTTACTTAGTCATTTTACCATCCTTGCTCTTCGTCTCGGCCCTGTTGAAGGTTAACTATTTTGTTTTTTGTTTTTTCCCACCCCCCAGGGACAGTTGCTGTTCATGTTTGTGTCTCAATTTGATTTCTGCTTGCTTTCTTTTGTCATTAACACAGATCTGAGCAGCATTTTGCTACTTCCTGCCAATAATTTAATACCTTGAGCGGTTGTAGTTTTGAGTGGCTTCGTTTGTGGGCACTGATCTTCCCTATAACCTGTCTTTCAAAGTCATCTGACGAATCCCCCAGAATTAGTTTGTCAGTGCTGAGTGTTTTGTCGTCACCTCTAAATCCATTTTGTGTACAGCTTAATCCTTAAGAGTCACAATTGAGCTGAGGTACTTTGGTCAAGCGATAGGACTGGACTTGTCCACAATCAATCAGCACTTAAGGAAAATCCAGAATGCTCAATGAACTTAACATGAATGTTTGTGTTTGGAATATGGGTGAAAGCTAAAGTACCAGAAGAAAATCCTCATAAGCACAGGGAGAACATGCAAATCCCACGTACAAAGTATTCCAACAAACTTCAGGACTGCGAGGCAGATGTGTTAACCACTCACCACTACGTCTTTCTTGTCGGCACTATCAGCAAAAAATGTGACAAAATAGGGGAAATAGCCTATGAATGTCCCCCAAACACAGCGGGTTAGTTTTATGGTGAACCATTAGAAATTTGGGCACATGAGTGGAAAGTCTCTCTGTCTTCACAGTCACCGCAGTAATAGCAGATGATGGTGCTGTAGTTGCACTTCTCCATTTATTCCTTCACTGTTGAGCGTCAGCGCATTGGCGGCCAGTCAACATCACATATCCGCACACACAAAGGAAGCATATTTAAATGGTACACTTGTGCATCGACAACTTCTGGCCTAAAATACAAAATGCTTGGAATAATTTTTGCACTTATTAACAGATTGTTGACTTTCGAAGATTCTGATGGACCCCAAAAGCAGTTTTTGCCCATTGAGTAAATTGAGTATTGCCATAAAAACATTTCAAAAATGGACCAATTCAATGTGACCAGTGCCAACATACTAGTTTAAAACAAACAGAACAGAAAACGACTCTTGCAGTGTCAGTAAAAATTGAACTTTTTTTTTTCTTTAGGCATAATTGAGGATATGACATGCATCGTCTTTGTCAGAGAAATTCCATTCATCCTCTGAGAGCTTACCGCATGCAAGCCTGCCAACCATGAACATTTTTTTCAATAACCACAATGTGCTCACACTCAAATGTACACGTCCTGTGCGCTTCGACTACAAATACAAAAACATTTTCACTCAGTGTTTAGCAAAATGTCTTGTCCTGCACCTATGCACACTGGGATTATTAAAAGACTAAAGATTGCAGTATTAGAACAAATGTTAACAATCCTGCCCAAAATGCTATATACAGATGGAGGATTTTTTTTAGGCAATGGATTATGTTTTTTTGCTTTTTTTTTTTTTTTACAGTTTATGAGGCCTTTCACATTATATATCAGCCATAGGCAGGTGGACTTTAGTCAGATCAAATTATATGGCTCTGTTTGATAGTTTGACATTGAAATACAGTAGCGTGTACAATGTTGCATGCTACACCTCTTATTTGTTATTTGGAGAACTGTGACTTTTTGATGCATCGAGAACAAGAGCAAAGAAGAAGTTGTAAAAAGTTAAAATGTGTATGAAGTTTGTGGAAGTTGGAAATCGAAAAACATGTTTCTATTGCAGATTTTCACCACCTGCGGATGGGTCTGGAACAAATTCCCCCTCACGCGAAAAACGGGGATTCACTGCATTATAGAGCTTGTACAGCTTTTCCAAAAGGATCAGCATGAGACAAGAAGCAACAGAAGCAAGTAGCAGCAAATACAGCCGCAGAGTGACATCTGTTTTCACCCTACAATTACGAAAACACCACCTTTAAAATCAGAGCGCAGCGGAGATAAAGACAAGCTGAGAGAGCAGTGTGAGGAGGTTAAGTGCTCACAGAGGCGACTGTCCCTTCAAACGCCATTTAGCTACTCTGATGGGATTCGCAGCCGTGGCAGAAACGCCGCAAATTAAAAGGCTGCTGAATCCAGCCTCGCTTTGACCACTAATGCTCTAAAAAAAAAAAAAAAGACATTGATTTCACATCACGCCACTACATTGTCAGTGCAACGGAAAACAAATTATATACTAGTCCTAAGACGTGGCACTTAGAATCGAATACAGTACGTCACAGCATACTTCAGTGCCTCGTGTGCAAACGTCAGCTCAGGGAAGCGGACCTACAAGAAATAGATGTTTATTCGTTCACTTTACATTTCAAAACTACCTCCAAGTGCTAAAAAGAGTTTAAAAACGTTTCAAACTAAAAGTTTAGGAAACTAAGTGGTTGCAACAGACAAGTTAAAAACAGCAACACGAAGGGGGGGGGGGGGTGAAAAACTAATAAGCATTTTCTGAGAGTAAACCTGTTACTGTCTTTTTAAAGGTCTCCGTATTTTGAAGTGCCCTCAGGGACAATGTTTTTGAATGACTGGGGGATTTTTTTTATGGGGGGGGCATGTTGAACCCAAGGAATAGTTTGCTATACATTTATCTGAAACTTAAACAGAAATTTTAGATTGACGGAACTGAGGAGTCTCGTCTAAATGTTGATTGGCTATTGAAATAATTAAATTGCGTGTATCTTGTACTTTTGCAGTGTCAAGTCAACTAGGCAGTGCCATAGAACTTTCTGGTTATCGTGGAGATTTGGTTCAATCCTCGTTAACGCACCGTTAAATAGTTGGAGCTCCTCGACAGGACACAAAAGACAAATTGCATCTTAAATGTGTTTGACAAAGTCAAATTGGCGCAAACCTGCCGTCAGTTGACCAATAAATGGCACATTTTAATATACACTGTTGTATACGGTTACGATTTGGGGTGGGAGGGGGTTGTCTGGTCTGGAAAGTGTGTGCAAAGGATCCGGACAAAGCGGAGGCGTTTTAACATTCCTGGCTAACCCAAAACAGAAAGCTGGATTTTAGGGTTCAGGGAGCTGATCCCAACCGAGGCCGCGCGCGCGCACCGAGCGCCGCAAGAGTCGGCCAAGTCACAGTCAAGCTTTGTGGCCTTCATGGCAAAGGAGAACAACTGTGGAGAAGCACACAGGCAACAGTTTGGTTCCCTGCGCTCTGCCGGGTTTCAGTGGTAAACTAAACACGGCTAGGACACGTTCCAGGGTAACGTGCGAAAGGCACACATTTGTACTCTGTATAGCTCCGAGTGCGCGTTACAATCGATATTGAAAAAGTACATTTCATGAAATGGAGTGTTGACTTACCGTCTCCACCATCAAAGGTCTCTACGAATCGGCCGGATTCAACTCAACAGACAAGCGCACTTTTAAAACTTAACTCTGCATGGCCAAGATAAACTCCAGTTGCCCACTGAAAGGAAAGCAGCCGAGCGTTCCACCAAAGTTTCAGTACCTCCAAACACAAACACCCACCTTGTACGCGCCAGGAGCTTAATTGCGCCACCAGGTTTTCCTAATTAGCGTGCTTGGCTCAGGCTCAGTCCGAGTCCATTCAGCCCACCGTGACCCCGCGCGCCGGGGTGCTCCAAACAAAAGAAGTGTTGGCTTCTGTGGGCTCCCGACTCGTCTTCCTCCTTCTCTCGTCGCGCTGCGTAAGTGGCCCCCTCAATAAACACCCGCCCTCCCCGCCTGAAACCTGAGAACGGTACCGCCGACTATTTTTATGTTATTTTTTTTTTTTTGAGGGGGCTCAACACAAAAGTTGTTTTTATGAAGCGATTCGGTTGCTATGCAGGTGTCCCCCACACAATGCTTCGCATTTCCTACGTGTCATTTTGGATGACTTGTACAGGAGCTAAATCCATAAAACATGATGCAGAACCATGCTCATTTTTACTGGAATATATAAATAGATGTGTAAGCATTAAATTTGTTGCTGTTAAGACGAACATAAAGAAATCGGAACTGAGTAGGAAATGATCAAAAGTAGATTCAGTGGTGTTCTTTAAAAGTGAAAATAAAATTGAAGTTAGTCAATTATCATGCAGCTTCAAATGCCAAACTGTACACCATTATTGCAATCCAGTATCTCATCCAGATGTGGTGTGCTTTTTTTTTCCACAAAATGTTTGCTCAGCCACAACTTCCTCTTGTGTAATTATCAGAGGGAACAAGGGGTCAAATTATTGCGACGTGGATGAGCGAGACTGGGGAGGAGGTTTCGGCCTCAAAATTCTGCCGACAGAGGTACCAACTTGGCAGTGGCAGAGCCTGGCTGGGGCCAGGGGTTTTGATAAAGGGGCACATTCAACCCAGGGCAAAAAAGACAAAGATTCAAAATCTTATTTGACTTTTTATTTTCATCAAACCTTTGAACCATTGTGGACATAACATTACAGTGACAATGAAAAACAGTATAATAATCACAATAGTACTGAATTAAGTGCTGATAAAAGATTCTTATGGGTGACGATCTTGTGGAACAGTCTTAAACTGCCCCTACTATTACAGCAACTGTATTCTGCGATTTTGGTGATTTCTGGCAAACCTTCCCAAGTGATTCAAGATTCAGTGCTTTTGACCTCCTAGACTCAATGCAAAGTGCACTAAAATTGCTGAATGTATCATAATTCATAGTGGACATGAGGTATGTTTTCCCAAGATTTAATGTGGAAAAACTCCGTTCTGCATTGGCGGGTCTTCTTTACATTTGCTGATGTCTGTGGAGAAAGACAAACCGAATAGATGTAAGCATAATTTTTGCATGGACACGGCATATACATTAACCTGCTACACTTCCACTGTTTAGGCTCTCAGGCACACATAATTGTCTAAAATGTATTCATGAATGCTGTTTAATGAATTGCATTAATTTATTCATTTATTGTATTCAGTAAATATAAATTAATACATTCTAAAGCCTGACCAGGTACAAAAATTGCAAGCACACTGAAGCTAGATGTTTTAGATGCATATAATTGTCCCAATTTTAAAAGGCAGTGTCTTATATATTGTTCATGTTAAATAAACATTAAAAAATAAAAAGGAATATTAAAAAAAGTTACACCCACACACACGCACGTGCGCGTACACATGCACTCACATGCACGCAAACAGTCTCAGTTTCCTCATTCTCAGGATCTTCATCTGTCTCTTCATTTTTAACTTTAATTTTTAACAGTGAAGAGAAATTACACTTCAGCAACCCTACTGTTGCAGGCTTGCTAGGTTTTGTGTTGTGGTCTTGACAATATCATATCACTCGTCGTCGTGGTAATCTTGGGACTGCTTCGCTGGGGGGTGCTTCTCTTCGCGCTTGTCTTTTTCCAGTGGTGCAGAGCACTGAAAGGTCCAACTAGAATGTTAAGCCAGGCACTTTAGTTCCACCTTTGGTGTCGGCAACTGGGCACTACTGTATAGTCTATGTTCGGAGAGGGGCCAGAGGGCGGTCCTGAATCAGTGGTACAGGGGCACTGGCCCCTGTTGGCCCCTTCCCAGAACCGCCACTGCAACTTGGAACAGTCTTGAAATTCCATCTTAATTTGCACATCCTTTAATTGTGCTTGCTGTGGTGCACCTGACTCTGACCCTTTCACCCCTAGCTTTCCCACAGTCAGCCAACTGTTCCTGAGACAAGCAAGTCCAAAAATGCAAACCATGTTTGATTTTCAAAGCCCCATTTATTGGTTTGGACCACATGGGTTCAGCTGAAGGTGATCCATGTCTTCAACAATCATGTGCACAACACATGTGGCGCACTGGTGGCAAGAAGAAATATTTACACACTGGAGTTGGTTAGCGCAGCATCCATACGACTCAGAGAGGATACAGAACTTCATTGGAATGGGGTGAGCTGAGCTTGCGGTGAAACACCCTGCAACAATACAATACATCCTGATTTATATAGTGCATTCACAACAGCTGCAGCTATAATCAAGCGCTTAACAAAACAGTTAACAAAAAGTAAAATATTAAACACAACACAGAACATGGAAGACAGTCGTGCAATCCTAACCATGTTTCCCTCATACGCTTCGTTGTTTAAAGCAGTTTGAGATGAAATAGGAGAGAATCAAAGTGTCCTTTCACCAGCGGATCAGACGCAATGATCGAAATGTGCACACATCAGCTACAAGCTACCGGTAAGTTTCAAAGTCAACAAGAAGCTGTAGCATCCATTGATGAAAAAGAAAAAAATAGATTGGTTCACTTCTCCTGTCCCATGTAAATCCATTTCAATTCCAAGCGGCGACTCTCAGTTACGCGCCGACGCTGCTCTCTCCTCATCCTCAACTTCAGCAGCCATCCATCCAGCAACAATCAAAAACTATAATATATGGGTGTCCAAGCTACAATTTGGAGGGCATTTTGTGGCCCACTGTCTTTTTCTGTAGTGCGCATCAGAGATTAAAATTAAAAATCGATAGCTAGTGTTCCATGCCTGCATTGTATGACTTACATTCTACATTGAGTGGCAAGACAGAAGAAAAAAAAAATCAATCTCATCTCTCACTCCCTTGTTTTCCACCAAACATACAGCCGATGTCAGAGATAGTGTGTCCAGTGTATCCTGGGTTGTCCCCAGGTCCTCCTTCCGGTGGGACATGTCTGGAGCACCTCACCAGGGAGGTGTCCAGGATGCATCCTGATCAGATGCCCAAGCAGCCACTTGCAAAACGCCAGAAAATCCCAAAAGTTTTGCTTCATCACCAGTATATCGAGCATATGTATACCTTGAACTACTGTGATGGATTGTTTCCAGTGTGTTAAATGAATTAATGATCAACGTGGCCAATGCATAATTCATTTATTTGTATGTGATCCTTGGAAGACAAATTTTGGACACCCCAGGACTCCAAGCAACAAAGGCGGGCGCTAATATCTCTCTCTGACATTCTGAGTTAATGCTGCTATTGATCCAGTTTTTATGCTGCTTATCATCATGAAGGTTGCTGACGAGCTGCAGCGTATCACAGCTGACTTTGGGCATAAAGCGGGGTGGGAGGACAACCTGTTCACTAATGACTAATAAACAGATTATTTTATTTTCCCCCTAAAATGCCACAAGATGCTGCCTAAGTCCTGGATAATATGAAAGTCGTAATGTGTGTCAAGGAAGAATGTTGAAGTGATGCGCGCCTTGAGTGAGAGACTAAAATCTTTGTAGTGGTGAAGCTCAGGCTGTGTGTGTTTCAGCTCTGCTACACATTTCCAGTACATTTGTTCAAGATCAAGTAATCTGAAAGGCATTTATTTTTAAGGCTAATGTTGTAATATGAGTTTGAAATGATACTTAAGCATTTGGGCAATATTGTTTGTGGTACATTTACAGTTTAAACTATGGCAATTATAAACATTTTTTTTTTTGTGAGGCATCAGTTATTGGCAATTTTCACAGGGCTCAGCTCCCAATCTCCCGCCACTAGCAGGGGTTTACTGTCGTCATAAAAAAACCCAATAAAGTGCATTTGTTTGAATTCATTTATATAGACAGTTTGCAAACAATGTTGCTCTAATAGAAAAAAAATAAAAGACAATCGTAAAGAAATAAATTACTACATGAACGCTCACAGCTGCAGGACGTTGGGACTCAAATCACCTGCTAGTGTGATGCTTCCTGCATACACGTGTTGACTGCTTTACAAAAAACAAAACAAAACAAAACAAAACAAAACTTGGTACTTGGGCCTACCTGCCGCTTTGAAGGGGCAGGTACAGAGAGAGAGAGATCAAGAGAGAGAGAGAGAGAGAGAGAGAACGTGGGTCTCTTTGTCACGTTTCTTTGCCGTGGACAGTTGTGTGTAGCTTAACGCCAAACATGGACTCCCAATGTGTTCGGATCCAAGCCAGCAGAGCCTGTAGGAGCTCAGAACTCTCTGAGCGAACGTGCCATGTCTTCTCCTCTTTCTGTGTCTTGAAGATTAAATTAAGAGTCGTCAATAATCGAAAACAACTGCAACCAAACAATGTAACAATCTAAAGTGGGGCTCACCTCGTCATAGAGCTTGACATCCATCTGCCGCTGCTCATTGGGCCACAGGTCGATGGAGCTCACAAAGCTGATGGGCAGCGTCTCCAGAAGAGAGAAGCTCCCGCTGCTCGGCTCCGCGGTGCCGTTAACTGTTGTCAGGTGGTTTGTGTTCTTCCTCCACTGGTGATCCTCGCTCAACAAGTACAGAGTCTCTCGGGTCGCCAGCACAGTCATCGGTGCCCATGTGTTTTCTGGAATGGCACACAGGCAAGAGACAACCCTTGCTTTAATATGACCATGTTTCATGCACTCATTGTTTAATTCATTGGTCACCTGGAAGGTGAAGGTCAAAGCCCACCAATGCGTTTGAGTGTGACCACAGTACAGACATGTTTAACATGCACACAAAATGCTAATGTGTGGCCACGAAGTAGGTATACACTGTGGCAAACAAAGATGCATGTTGGCATTGAGTGTCTGAAATGTTAAGTATAAGTCGAACGGGGCAGATCTGGACACGCTCGAATGGCAGAGCTACAAATTCCACTGATATGTGTGGAAAATTGCCTGAGGAAGACTGTAGACAGGGCGGTGTCCCACATCTCTCGCGGAAATTAATGTAACTTGCTTCACCTGTGGCCCCAAATCCCAGCCGTCCAACAGAGACATCAAGTCATCA